TGTTTTGGTCCCTTAGCAAGAGCATGGTGGCTTTTAAACTTGCCACTTAAGACTTCAGGGAATTTAATTGTTCTAAGTGTAACAATAGAAAACATTAAAAGACAAATATAATTTTCCACTAAATCCTGAAGCATTACTGTAAGATTTATAGAAATCAAAGCTAAAGAATAATTTGCACTTACTCCAGAAATACAGAAACAGAGCTATATTAAAAATAAGGAAAGGGATGGAGACCAGTAGATTACGTGTGGTGGTTAAGGTGCTAGACTACCACATGGTTGACCATGGTTCCAGTCCCGGACCTGGAGGCTTGAAAATCATGCTGGATGCATGTGCATGCATGCCTAAAATCCCAGAAGGAGAATGAAGAATGGATTGCAGCATGGCCATCCACTCAGGGGGGTTATTTCTCACTTTCCCTCTCTCTGTCTCCCTCCAGTAAGCACATACATGTAACATATGGAAAAAAAACTGAAAAAATAAAATAATAAGGAAGGGGAAGCTATGTGAAATATATAAGACTTGAACTAATAGAATTAGACATTTCACTTTTTTTTTTTTTTTTTTTTTTAGCATAATTCCATTCGGTGTTAATTAAAGACTAAAGACTATAGGGCGCATGTGCTCGCCAGACAGACAGAAAGAGACAGAGAGACAGAAAGCGAGAAATCACCCCCCAGGGGTGATGGCCACACCGCAATCCCTTCTCCTCTGTTCTCCTCTCAGGATTTTGGGCATGCACACACACGCGCCCAGTGTGTTTTAAGCCACCGGGTTCAGGACGCAAACCGCTGTCGACTACATGGGAGTCCAGCGACATAGCCATTACGCTAACTGCTGGTCCCGACATTCCACTTTTGTTTGGAAGTATTAAAAGATAATTTCAAAATATAATGCTATAAATGATTTCTAAATAGTTATTGATAATGTAGCTGAGTCATTTCAAGACTGATGCATTACCTCCAAGGTAATGAACAGTTCACACAAATGTTCAGAAACAAATGTTTGTTTGGCACCTCATCTTCTTACAGATGGAAAGACTCCAGATGTGTACTTTCAATAATGTCATTGTAGTCGATTTAGAAACTTGTCTTCATAGACACCATAGTCTGCATATACTTCTACTTTATCTCCTCTGATATAGCAAGTGAGTATAGGTGGTTCTACTGATTTGTGAACTGAAAATCTGATGGCTTTGGAAATTTCATATGTGAAATATAAATCATGAGGAAGGGTAACCAACTGAAAATGTAATTTGAAGTGAATATGAGAAGAGAAACTAGAATAAAAGGAATGTTTGACTCTATTCCCTATTGTAATAAACTCTAATTTATCCAAATGAAATCTAGTATGGAAGTCAGCTGTAACTCACCACCACCAACCTTACAGCAGAGACTGTTTAAAGGAATCTATTTTTGTTAGATATGAATGAGCCTGATACTTGTAAAAGATGGATGTGCTTTTGCTGTTGTAGAATCACCAAAACATTACAGGATTCCCATTTGCTGTATTTTAAATGGACATACCAAAAAAGAAAAAGGAGCCAGTAGTTAGTGTAATGGCTATGTTGTGTGGTGGTGCCCGCCCTATGGCTAAAACCTATGGAGGCTGGAGGATTGCGGCATCGAGTCCATCTCACTCTCTCTCTCTCTCTCTCTCTCTGTCTCTCTCGGCAAGTGCACGATTTTTTGGGAACCAGCAGTTGGCGTAATGGCTATGTCGCTGGACTCCCACGTAGTCAACCGTGGTTCGTGTCCCGGACCCGGTGGCTTAAAACTCACGCCGGGCGCGTGTGCGTGCGTGCCCAAGATCCCGAGAGGAGAATGGAGGAGAAGGGATTGCGGTGTGACCATCCCCCCTGGGGGGTGATTTCTCGCTTTCTGTCTCTATGTCTCTCTCTGTCTGTCTGGCAAGCGCACGCGCCCTACAGTGAAAATCTCTCCAAAAAAAAAAAAAAAAGACAGTATAGTGATTTAAATCGATGAAGACTAAGAATTTGTACCTTAAAATTCACCAGACCGAGCCAGTTGGACTCTGCCAAGAAAATGTTGACTTGAAATGAAGATCAAAGTCCACTTCACCTGGTCATACCAGACCCCCCTTACAACAGCCATAGTTCCTCAAAAACAGCACTCTCCTCTCTTCCCCACCAAACTCTGGATCTCAGTTCTCATGAGAGGATGTTTGCCACTGGCTGTAATTAATCTTCTGATTGCAAGGTTTCTCTGTTCTCTGTTCTCTGTTCTTAGGAGACATGACATATAGTGACGTGTGTAAGATGATTTGTAGAGTGTTAGGAAGTAAAATCTGACCCAGTGACGTCTGCTTATGTTCCCCATTCTGTCTCTGAAGCAGCAGTCTCTCAGGTCGAGAAGATTTTTGTTCTTCCTGACTTTTCTTCTAAAAATGGCTGTGTCCCTGGAAGAGGGTAAACTAGTGAGTAATTACCAGCCAACCTCTTTTTTAAAAGAATTATTTTTATGGGGCCAACAGATGGTGTGGTGGCTAAGGGCACTAGACTCCCACACGGTCAACCATGACAGCTTGCTTTCTCACTTTCTCTCTCTCTCTCCTTTTCCTCTCTCTCTCTCTCTCCTCTCTCTCTCTCTCATTCTCTCACTCTGTCCCTCTCTGGTCAAATTAAAATAAATAAATACATACATACATAAAAGTCAAATTTAAAATGAAGTATTTTTATTTCATTTCATTGGTTATTTATTATTTAATTTGACCAGAGAGAGAGAGAGAAAGATGCAAACTGAGAAAGCAAGTCACCAGGTCAGGTCCAGGACTTAAACCACAGTTGGCCATTTGGGAGTCCAGTGCCTTAACCACCAACTACCTGCTGGCCCCTTACCAACCAACTTCTAAGCTATCTTTTCTAGGGTCCCTAGGAAACAAATCAGTGTGCCTGTGAAGAATAAAAGAGATGTCAGAATATGGGATCGGGGCAGAAAAGGAGGAAGATACATTAGGAAATAGCCAGCGCTTGAGTCACTCTCTTCCTTTTGTCTCTTTGCTTCTAAGCACCCCAGAAATGGGCCTGCCACCTTCCCTTCTGTGCTGCCAGAAGCACCCCACCTAAGACTCTCTCCTTCAGAATCTACTAACAAACTGGCAGCGGCTTTGTGTCTCACCTTTTGTCCATATCCCAGGGAAGGAAAAACACCTCTTTGAAGTGTTCTTTTACCATTGTTACTATGATTATTATGTAGGAAACAGAGATCAACTCTAAGGAAAACCACATGGCAGAAAGTTACAGGATATAAATAATTCCTAAAAGTCTAGAATGTACGGCCTTCTCAAGAGGTGTAGTCACAAACTCCGACAGTCTATAAAGCCCTTCGCCTGTCACGGCCAAGTTGATCACCTTTCCCCAGGTCCCACTGTTCACTGCAGTTGATTCTGCTCTCACGGTGTGCGTCCATCTGTCTGTGTGACAACCCCCCACAAGCTGCTGTATTGTGTGTGGGACTGTCTTATTCTTACTCCTTTGCATGGCACTGGGACCATGTCTAGCATAATGAATCAGTGAATGGAAATCAAAGACTGATCTTTCTTAGCTCTGGTCACTTTCATTTCATTCTTTTTGGGAGATTAAGTCCTCCTTAATCTCCAATATGCCAAGACCAGCAAGTTCAACTTTGCCATCACCTA